ACTTACAAAAGGGGCCTGTCCTGTTGAGGCAAAAACATTCTGTTCGTAATCTCCAAGCCTGATGTGCATAAGGCAGGGATCTGAGATGCTTTTTCAACTTGCTATGTCGCTCAGAATGCTCTTCGTGGCTCCAGTCCTTTCCATTGCTTGGGTTGGATTGGTCAAGTCAGGCACAAAGCTCGGACACCTACATAGTCTTTGGCGAGGCCAAGGCCGCTCAGCTGATGGTTGGTCTGGCAGGGCCGTAAGGAAGCTGTTGTGAGCTGGACAAAAGCAAGTGCCTACTGATGTGTGCCATGCGTTCAACAGACATTGGGCCTAGAAACCAAGGTGGAAGATCTGAGTGCTCAAGCTCAAGCCACAGCTGCGCAGCACTTGGCGGGTGTGGAGCGGCAGGACAGAACGATGTTTCCACGATGTTTCTGCAAAACACAGATTGTTGTATGTCTTTTGGGAAACACGTTGATGTTGAGCCTCACTTGTGCAAGAAAACAGAGGGTTTCGTTTGCAAGGTGTTTGCAGTTTGGTAGACATGCGCTGGAACTGCATAGCACGTGCTAGACAGAATCGATCGAGAGTGTGTTTTCTGTCGGCGCAATATCTATATAATTGCTTTTGGAACATTTGATATGTATAAAGATGTATAAAGTGACTTTGATATATCTTGATATGTCAATTCAGAAACAACGTGCTTGTATCTTCACATGGGGCTGAGCTGGCTTTAAGTAGAGTTGCCTTGGTAATTGCGAGGAACCAGAGAAGCCCAAGGTTGAGGAGGTTGAGGACCAAAAGAGAGATGACATCTTCAGCTTTGTGACATTGTGCTTTGTAAAGGTGACATCATAAGGTGACTGCTTGTGAGGAGGATGCACGGGTATGTACGGTACACTCAATCCTTTGGCCAAAACATGAACTCAACAGGAAGGTGAGGTGGACGAGGATGGCATTGAGCCCAAGGACATCGAGCTGGTGGTGTCTCAGGTGAACTGCTCACGTGCCAAGGCCGTCGAAGCGTTGCGTGCCTTGGCTGCGCTCCATTGCAGCTTGTTCGAGAGTGACACAGAAACTTAAGAAGACCTGATGGAATTCTTGGCTGTTTGTGTCTCCAGCTGTACTCTTCGGGCATTCCCAGAGTCACACTGCTAATAGACCTGCAAGTGAAGAAAGCATGCAGACGACAGCCATGACGCCAGTTAAAAGCACCTTTGAGTTGGGTAGTTCAGCTGATGACTTGTAGTTGTCACTGAGCGTCTATAGACTTTGGCTTTGCTTGAACCAGGTGCCAACAAGAACGACATTGTGGAGGCCAGACTGATCCAGCGATTCCACATTTCTGCAATGCTGCAAGACATTACTTTCCACGCTTGATGTGTGAGGCCATCATGCAACTCTCCTCCAGCTGATGAAACATCACAGGGAACCATTTGCGACAAAGACGGACAAAAGACTGACCGCGGGTAGATTGCCACGGAAGTACAGAGGGTGCAAGTTCCTGAAGTGTCGTTTGTCCTGCAAGCAGTGAGTCTCAGCGTTGAAGCAGGAGTTTCCTGTCCCAAATGAAGTTGTGTCAGGCGACTCCTGGGTGGCTGGAACCATTGTTGGCTCGGATCCATGAAGATCGAAGGCGGAATTTGATGATGCTTGCAGGTGTGAGACTTGAGATCCTACAGATGTCTTTGTTTTTTCCCTGAAAGCACCTGCGACGGATTTCTTCGAAAGGACATCTGCTCACATCATTGTCCAACACCTACTCCTACTCCTACTCCCACTTCTACTACTACTACTACTACTACTCCTACTACTACTACTACTACTACTCCTACTCCTACTCCTACTCCTACTCCTACTACTACTACTACTACTACTACTACTACAGTACTACTCCTACTACTACTACTACTACTACTACTCCTACTCCTACTACTACTACTACTACTACCACTACTCCGACTACTATTATTACTACTAGTACTACTGCTAACACTTCCAACACTTCGAAATCATCATCACCTACTAAATCTCACCTACTAAAAACACTTCTAGCACTTCGATTCGACTTCTTTAAAAGTTTCTTTCTACTCTCAAGGCGGCGGGCAGGTCCGGCCGGAGCTCACGAAACGTGACCCTCTGCGAGGATCGTGCGTGTCGAGTGCTCAAACGTGTGGTGAAGCATCGATCGCGTTTGACCCCTGGCAACCCTCTGCGGGGATCGTGCGTGTCGAGAGCTCAAACGTGTGGTTAAATGCGAATTTGGTTTGTGCGCGGGTGACCCTCTGCGAGGATCGTGCG